CATCAGGAAACCTATCTGCTCTGCTGTCATGGTGCACCCCAAGCACAGCACTTCTGACACTTCCCTATGTCATGGTCTCAGTCCCAGCTCTCAGTCTCCAGCATTACTGCTGATGTAGCCTCCTGTACAACTTCCATATTTCATATTTTGTCTCAGTCCCAGGCCAGTCTCCACCCAGGAGTCTTAGCAATCTCATTGCAACTACATGAGATCATGGAGGGCCTAGCTTAAAACTTTCCAACACTGCCCTTGTATTGAACAAAACCTAAATAGGGCATGGCTTGAAGGCTGTATGTGACCCAGGCCCCTGACAATTCCTCTGAACCCATTTCCAGATGATCTCTCTTCCATGGCACTCTCACCCATGTGCCCTCTTGTTCCTGGGACGGGGCAACTGCACTCCTACCTGGGGGCCTTTGCCCTTGCTGTTCGCTGTACCTGAAGTAGAGTTCCTGTGTTAGCTTTGTGTTGCTGTGACAAAATACCTGAGACAATTAACTTCCAAGGGGGAAAGGTCTCTTCTGACTTATGGTTCCAGAGCCTCCAGTCCCTGGTCACTTGCATCCAGGGCAAGGAGGTCCATTGTGGTGGGAGCACATAGGCAAAGAGCCTTATGGTTCAGCTTGTGGCGGCCAAGAAGCAAAAGTGTTCAGGGCCCCACAGTCTCCCTCCACGCCACCACCATGACCTAATTGCCTTTACGGTTCCTCTTTGGTGCTCCCCAAGTCTCAGTAGTGCTACCAGGGGCCGAGCCTTTAATATGTGAGCCTCTGGGGCACAGCCTGGATCCAAACTGCAGTCATCCCGGAGCCCCATTGGGACTATCCGTCATTCTCGTACATCACACCCTGTCTCCTCCAATAGGCTTTCTTGATCACCCTGATGTAATTCACTCTCTCCCTCTTTTGTTTTATTTCTCCTCCCAGCACTCGCTGGGGGTTACAATCCACACGCTTTTGTTGATGTTTCCCCCCAGGGTTAATGTGAGCTCCACTTACACTTGGTGCTGGGGGCCTTGCCCACTGGTTCCCACTGTGTCCTCAGCACCCAGAGGTATGCTCTGCATGTAAGACAAATGCAGTGCCCAGTCCCGGCTGAAGGAGCCTGATGCACAGGGATAGCGGAGTACCTGGTAACTGAATGGACAAAAGCCACCAAGGCTGGAACGTGGTGGTAGACCAGATGGACAAACTTAGATGCTAATGGTGCTCTGCAAAAGTGACATCACTAGATAGTAATAGCAACACAATTGGGAGTGCTGTGGAGGTGGAGGTTCGGGAGGCAGCAGAGACTTCTAAGGACCTTAGGACAGTGACCTTCCCCAGACCCACCTGTGTGTGTGGGGGGCCTGGTGTTACCTGTTGAGAGGAAGGAAGGGGGATGTGTGCTTAGCAGAGAGTGGGTGTGCGGTGACTCCCCACTGCTGCTGTTATGAGACACTGACTTCATGTTCTTCTCCTCCGCATCATTACAGCCACCTTCCAAATGGCTTATATTTTAATTCTGCTCTGCCACATCAAAGCCAGAGGTCTCTTCCTCAACATATAAAGCTTGGCTGTACCAATGTGTTTTCCTAATCAGGAGGAAAGCAGGTTGAGCATCCTCGGTCTGCAGCATCCATAGCAGGCATCTGGCGGGGAGGTGGCAGAGTGTCAACTCCTCATCCAAAGGGGGATTTGGTGTCACTTTGGGTCAAATGGCCCCAAAGCCCTCCTATAAATTCTGTGAGCTCCCTAAAATCCTCAGCAAATTCCTTTCTCCTTAAACAAGGGAAGGTGGATCCCATGTTCACGACGAATAACCAGGCTGGTGACATGCAGGTGGGTTGGTAAGGGGGTTAGGGCCCTACACTGTGTGCCCTGCGTGGTTAGTGAGGGGCTTGTACAGGTCACAGGTGTGGAGGAGGGCACTCTGGGTGAGGCGTCATTGCCACCTCCAAGGCACTCTCGTTCACTCAGCCTTTCTAAGGGCAACCAGAGCACTCCTGCTCTTCTCCCTCGATGTTGCCGATGCTCATGGACATCTGCAGTCACCCAGCCTATATCTCCCCGACTCCCCTTGCAGTCTGCATTCATCCAACTTTCACTGAGCACCTTCTACATCCAGGCATGGAGGACGCACAGCTGAAAAGGCACTGCAGTTCCCTGCGAAGAATTCAGTCTCCTCAGACTCCCAGCCTGCAGCAGGAGCTCAAAGGCCTGGGGATGTGGTCTGTCTACACAGCAAGGCAGGCTGAGCACGTGACAGTGCACAGACTTTGGAACTGGATTCACCTAGATGCCAGTTCTAACTCTCACAGCAGCTGGTGAATTTTGCTAAATTACTTAATCTCACAAGCATCAACTTCCTCATCTATAAAGTAAGATTAATAATGACTAATCCATAGGATGTTCAGGAATGTTGGATACAACACTGCACATGAAATGTTTAATAGACTGCTCAATTCTTTGAGACATTCTGTAAATATTATGAACAACAAGTCTTTCTGAGGCTGTCAGGAAATCCTCCACAGAGGGAAGAAAGCCTAAAGGAAGCCTTCTTAATCAAGCAGCCAGGTGCACTTGCTCATTCTCTTAGTCAGCAATTATTCACTTTTGCAAATTGTTCTTTGTAACATCCCGGGATGAGGAGTATCCTGTTTTGATTCTTCTGTTTTGCAAACAGAGGAGTTAATGAGCTCATCCAAGCGCACACACGTTGTGTGCTTTTACCAGTACAGGCCTTCTGTGAGAAAAGCCTGGAAACCTACACCGGATGCCCACTGTATGTGCAACCTCATGGAGGACACAGAAATGCACAGCCTCTAAGAAACATCGCAGGTGCCACGAGGGATGAGTGAGAAGACGGAGACCAGCTCACTCACAGGCGGGAAAGAGCAAAGGTTCACTTGGTGGTGCTAGACTAGAGTTACAAGAGCAAAGCAGGCCCGGAAACAACAGGGAAGTGAATTTGCAAACTGAGCCTTAATGGAATGTGGACAATGGGTAGAAAGCTGGAAGAGAGCATGTTTGAAAGGAGATGGGTAGGAGTGACTCACCCTACAGACAAGGAACAGCCTGTGGTTGGTTTGGGTGAGATTTTAGGAAGAAGATAAGCACACCGTGATGGGAGACAATGGGGCAGAATCACCAGTGGATCCCAGTGACTCACCAGCTGAAGCCAGGTGGACACTCTGCCCTTCTGGAAGCGCTACCTGCAGACCACCTGCAGCAGAGCCGTTTAGGCGCTTGCTAACAACCCAGAGCCCTGTGCTCTCCTGGATCAGCAGTGCTGGGACCAGGACACGATTAACCAGGCTCCTTGTGATGGTGAAGCCCTGTTAAAAGGTGGAGATGGCCTGTCCAGAAGTGATCTAATCAACTGTATTTGTTTCACAGATGTGGAAACTGGGGTTCAAAGAGATTGAGGACTCTCCCAAGGTCACATAGATTTTCTAGGAAGAGTATGAGGGCTTCTGATCCACAGGCTGACTTATTCCACTACTCTGTGCAAGGCTGATCTCTGAGAGCTGGATGTAGCAAGGAAAGCAGAAGACTTTTCACTTTCAAAGCAGTCAAGTGGGAAAAAATGAGGCAAGGTATCCTAGCTAAGATGTGATTGTCTTCAGACTCCCATAGGGAGCTGCTGCTGCTGGCCAGTGTCTCTCAGCGTATCCTGACTCACACCAACTATGTGGCTCGTTGACCAGCCTGACCTGGACAGGACCACCTAACCCATGACTGCTGCAGGCGCTGATCCGTGCTGACTACTCCGGCCCTTCTGAGGGACGGCGGTGCAGGGAGCATTTCGTGATTTTATTACCCTGGGTAGGGCATGATTTGTGGGTCCCCAATTAAATTTCTCCCTCTTTGATAAGCAGCGTTATTCAGAAGGCCATATATTGAACTTGGAGAAAGATGTCAGTTAAAACCTTTTCTAGCTTTCTTATTTTGGATAAGTTAATTATGACATAGTGTTACCATGAGATTGGCACAGTTATTTTATAAGTTAAAAACAAAGCAAAACAAATAAAACCAAGCCAAAGCAAAACAAAATAAAAACTCAGAAGCTCAGATGAGTATGACTTGTTCAAAGTTACACAACGTGTTACATCTCTGTACCTCCATTTCCTCAAAACAAGAACAATCACATCACCTCCACCTTCTTCACAAAGAATTTTGTGTGAGTCAAATAAGAAAGTAGGCATGGAAATGCATCACAGTGTTTGATGTGGATGTCAGGGACCCATCATCTTCTCCTTCTACATGTGTGAAATGATCTCACGCGCGCACACACACACACACACACGCACACATGCATGCACACACACACACACAACGTAACATACAGTAGATTTATTTTAAAGGAACTTGAGAAGCAAAAGTCTAACCCAAACAGGACTGCACTTGTGAGCCCAGGTCACATCCAGGACTTCAGCACACGTGTCCTGACTCATGCTGCACCGTGGCTCGTGAGGAGCCCGGCAAGTTTTGCCACACCCAAAATTCAGAAAGCCCCGTGACCAGCATGCTCTCCCTACCCTGGTCTTCCATGTTCTGCCTGTCCTTTCTGGGGAGAAAAGGGTGCACATCCAGCACAACGTGTCCAGTCAGGGGGCCCAAACCAAGGGAAGCCTTAGTTGGTATTTTGGACCTGGGGTGCCCAGCAAGGATCAATGTCTCCCAGGGCCAAGAAAGCCTGTGACGTGGCTACTCCATGCATAACAGAGTTTTTATATAAATGGTCTGCATTCATTCAAGGACAAAATCAACACCTTTCTCTCAGCTTCATAACAGATTAAAAGAAGTGATGGAAAAAACCACAGAGGACAGGGACAGGGATCATTTCACTTGTTTATTTGTTTGTTTGTTTTGGTTTTAGGAAATAGCTACAACATGAGCACATGAAGGAAGACTTTCTCTAGAGACAGGAATTTTTTACTTGAAAATATTTATTTTCTTCTCAGTCTTTTGCAGTAGCCACCTTGTGGAGCACAATCTAGAAGGTCGTATAGAGAATTTATCACCCAGGTGATCCTCATGTGCTTACTGAATGCAAATCCCACTGATCTTCCGTTCAGACCAACTGGCTGAGAGTGACTTGTATAAGTAACTTCAACAAGCTCTCGGTGAGATTGTCACACACACTAGGATCTGGAAACCACTACATGGGCCTTAGCATGTGAAATCGTGCATGCTCCTCACACTTCCAATAACCTGTGAATTCAAAGTCTCCCATGTTTGCAGGCTCTGCTCTCTAGCATGCTTTCAAGATCACTGTATATAGTGCTCAGCACAGAGCTCAAACCAAGAGAGTAGATGGCATAGAAATACCGCCTCATGTCTCCTTCCTGCCATAAATTATTCCCTTCTCTCTTCCAGGTTCCACTTTCTCCACCAACACCCGGCAATAAAATCCACCTATTTTTAAAGTTGTATTCTTCACAGCCCAAGTGTATTGCCTTCCTTGTGGTTGCTGCCGCCCAAGCTGCGTCTCTGACCAGGAGGTGGTGTGCAGGACGAATCTAGGCCAATGCGTCAATGGGAGGAAGGAAGTCGGGGAAAATAAAGACAAGACGTGAAGCCTACAGGGGTGTGGCGCCTGGAGCCAGAAAAGTTAGGCACTGGTCCCAGCTCTGTCATTCACTTAGTGTGTGACCTGAGGTGAGCCAAACCCCTTTCTAGGGCACAAGATACTCAGGACAAGGCAGAGCTGGCTGCAGCAGAGCTTCTTATGCCATGTGGCATGCCACGGCATTATGCCACTGATGGACGCCAGTGTGCTATGAGTCTTAGGGCCCTCTTAGAGGGGAGCCTGAGTGGTGTAGGAGTCCCAGGATCACCCTTGTAGTCCTCAGAGGTGGAAGTGGGTGCAATGGGCCACATTCACCATGCGTTGTGCCACCACAACCTCTGAGTCCAGCCAACTGCCTGGACACCCAGGGAGCCAGCTGAGGAAGCTACCACCAGCCATCCTGGACACAGTCTGAGCACCAGGAGGGAGTTTGGCCCAGTGCCCAGGGGCTTGGTGCTCAGCCCAACACACAGCCAGAGGATGAGCTATGGAGAAACATGGCCAGGCATCTGGTCTTCCCAGCAATAGGTGTCAGCCTAGAATTTCTGTCTTCGCGTGGGTCAGATGCTTCAGTCTTTCTGTAGCCGAAGGACGGATGAGAGGCCATTCAGTGGTTTCCATGGTGCTTTGGGGCAACTGCCTTTCTAATGCACTTGCAATACCCAGACTAGACCCTGATAATCATTTTGAAAGACAAAATATATTAAAGTTTGAATTTGAAATGCCTTTGCTTTTTCATAGAAACTTAAACATTGATTTCCAGTATTTAAAAAATAAAAGGTAAACAAGCAGGTTCTTTAGATGCAAATCTTCGAATGGTTGTGCATAGTGATGTGATGTTCTGGGTGAAGGTTCTTGTTGACTGACCCACCAGGAACATGAAATGACCATCACTAGAATGTCCCTGTCATCACTGGATGTAGGCAGGTTCAGCACAGTATCTGTTAGGAAAAGGACGTGTCAACGGCAATAAGTTAAATAAGGTCTAAGATGTATAATAGATACTGTGAAATGGGAAGAAATTGTTCAGAAGGAAAAGCAAAGAGGGGCTGGGGATTTAGCTCAGTGGCACAGTGCTTGCCTGACAAGCGCAAGGTAGTGAGTTTGATTCCCGGTACCGGAAAAAAAAAAATTGTTCAGAAGGGAAAAGGGTCTCAGATGAGGGGAAAGGGGGAAGGACAGAAGGGAAAAGGGAACAAAGAACAAGTCAGTTATACTATTAGTATTTCTTAGCTCCTTGAAAACGAAGGTTTGTGCTAATATTGATTGGAAAATATTTTTTTTGTCTTTTGGAGACAGGGTCTTGCTATGCAGTTCAGGCTGGCCTTGAGCTCACTTTGTAACCCAGGCTGGCCTCGAACTCCCAATGATCCTCCTGCCTCAGCCTCCCGAGTGCTGGGATCACAGGGGTGGGCCACCAGGCCAGGCCAATTGGGGAATTTTTATGCCCATATCTTGTACTCTGAATAATTACTTTAAAGTTAACAATATTAAATGTATTATTGTTATTCTCCTATTATTTTGTTATGAATTTTGTTTTACTGTTTTTCCATAAAATAAAAAATAAATACAATTTTGAGATTTCATTTGGAACCTTTACATAAATTTAACCTTTGAGAGTTTCCCAAGTATTTTGTGCCTTGTTTGTCCTACAGGTATACAAATGTGAATGTGGCTGTGGCTGGGCCTAGTACTTTAGGGCAGTGGTTTCCACCGTGGGTGAATTTGCCTCACGGGGCACAGCTGACAGTGTCTGGGGACTTTGGTGAGCTGCTTGCTGACACCTGCTAAGGGGGCCGGGAATGCTGCTGAGCACCCTACAATGTGCAGGAAAACGCCGTGTGGCGGTAATTCTCACTCCCCAGATGCCAGGAGTCCCAGGAGCGCCTCGGCGTGGGGCTCCTCTCTTCCAGTGTCCCAACGTGACTTGTACGTGTTCCTGCAGCGCAGAGGGGACAACCAGCAGTCAGGGCACGGCCAGCAGCAGCCCCTTCTCACCTCCTACCTCATCTTCCTCCTGCCCGCTGGATACCAGGCCACGGACACTTGCCTGAGATGGTGAGCATTTCAGCAGCACTTGGAAGGTCAATGGCTGCACCCTCAACAGCTCGGACAGTATGTTCGTCTTTCTGTTATGTGTTTTAAAGTTCCATGTTCTGGAAATAGCATCTTTGTTCCACTGGGCTGTGATTTTTGTTATTTTGCAACATTTGCCCTTAGCCACCTCCCCATACTGAACTGTGATCCAGTGCTGGGTTCGCACCGGTCTCCCAACAGGCAAACCCTTGTCCGGCGTAGTTGGCCATCTCACTTCCTTCTGCCTGCCCTACAGTGTCCTTGAAAGTCAAAGGCACCTTGTCTTTTGGCACTAATGCTCTGCCTCCAAGACCAAGCACACCGTCCCCATTCTCTCTCTCTGTGACACACCAGCCCTGTTGTGTTTGCTTGTGGGCTGGCTCTCTTCTTTCTTTCTTTTTCTTTCTTTCTTTCTTTCTTTCTTTCTTTCTTTCTTTCTTTCTTTCTTTCTTTCTTTCTTTGCACTTCAAGATGCTTCAAGTGATTGGGGACTAACCCAGTCCAGCCAATTATACTCCTTTATCAATATGGCTTTGACCATTCTTTAGCCAATTTTTATAACAGATTCACACCCACCACCTAACCCTAAGAGAAGGTTTAAGGGAACACTGGGTCCTTGCACTTATCCAGGGACTTCATGGGGCATGGACAATTTGATTAAAATCTGCTTTCAGGTAGAAGAAAGATCAATTTTGTAGGTCCTTGGCTTTGTGAGTTTAAATCACTTTATTTTGCTTATCTGTAAAGGAACAGTTATGCCTAAAAGGCTGCTTAAATTCCCTCCAGCTTTAAAAAACAGAAAAAGCATGGAAATTTTTAAAAAAGGTATCTGTGTTAGGAAATGCATGCTTCTATGGTATTGACTCATTGTTAATGTGTCATTTCTATTGAAACAAGGAAGTTGGTTTTTACAGTTGGAGTCAGGAAATACTTTACATCCTCTGTAGGGCTTAGAGCCCCTGGAAGATCACGGTCATCGATGTGACCGGCAATGGCACATTGGTGCTAGCGAAACCAAGTCTTTAATTCATTTACAGAATATGAATTAGACTGTCTGACGCTCTTAAGTGAAATAATATTTGTTTCTGTTTTGCTGAGGAGGAAACAGAGGCACCAGGTCAAGACAACCCGACAGCTTTGACCAAGGAGGGAGGCAAAGGGCAGTAGGACCGAAGAGGAACTAAGTCCAGAACAATAAAAATTCCCCATTCTCAACTTAATGATTTGAATCCCAAATGTGTGCTTCTCTGACTAAAACTGCAGCTGCTTAGGAAGTCAAACATTCATTTTTATGGTCTTATGAATTGTAGTGTTAAATTGTTGATCAGCAACGAGACCTGTTAATGTTACTTTTTGAAATGCTGAGTTCATTGTTCTGTTTATTTGAAAATGCTACTTGGTTTTCTCCCTCACACTTTGAAGTCATTCTCATCCGGCAGACAACATTCAGTGGTTTCTCAAAGGCCAAAACCAACTCTTTCAATTCCCTTTCTCTCTCTAACAGACAGTTGGATTACAGTACCAAGCTTCAACTTATGGTGAATATTTTTAACAGTGGGGGCTGAGAGTTAGGGGAAGAAAACATATTCTGTTGATCTGTCCCACAATAGTGAAGCTTCCCTTTCTGTCTCCAGTTTTAGGGATCATTCTCAAATCCTGGTCTATGTCTGAAACCCAATGGAAGCTCAGTGTGCACTGAAATTCAAAACTCTCAAATCTCTTAGGATACCTAATTGTCCAGCAGTTCCAGACTGGAAGGCAGATGCCCACATCCTCAGGCTCCTTTTATCCTATTTACCCCGTACTTAGGTTCACCAAGTACATATGTGGGTGTTTAGTCGGGATACTTTGGTTGTGATAACGAAGAAAGGAAGGCAATCTGAGAGGTGTCTAGAGATCGGCCTCCAGACTCTGGTGGCTAAAGCTTAATACCCTTGTCAGCATTTCATTTTCTCAACCATTCTAATAAGTGTGTAGGGATCTCTGTGATTTTAATTTGCATTTCCCTAATGGTTAATGATTTTGAGTATCTTTTCAAGTTTTTTTCCATAAATATATCTTCTTTGATAAACTACATAGATAAATGAATAGACAGATAGAAAGATACATACATACACAGACAGGCAGACATGTATAATATAATGATGTCTTTTGGTCAGTGATGGACATGCATATGACAGTATATTCCATTAGCCCCAGAGTAAAGGACTATATACCATAGAGATTTGTGTGTTAGTACACTCTACATAGTTTCAAAATAGGGAAATACTCTAACAACGAATGCATTTCTCAGGACATATTCGGTTGTTAAGCTATGCAAGACATATGTATAATCAAGTCATTTATCAAATAAATTATTTGCAAATATCACCTGTTAGCTTACCTATTATCTTTCCATTGTTTTAACAGTAGTTTCTACAGAACACAACTTTTAAATTTTGACACAACTCAAGCTATCCATCTTTATTATTTTGTGGATTATGCTTTTGATGTCCTTCCTAAGAAGACTTTGCCTCACCCAATACCCTAGTGAGTTTCTCATTGCTGTAACATAATGCCTGACATCCACAAATTAAAGGAAGAGAGGCTTATTCTGGCTCACAGTTTGTAGAGGTTCAGTTCATAGTCAGTTGGCTCCAAGGCAGGGCAATATGGCAGACAGGGCTGGCTGAAGAGAGAGCTCATGGAATAGTGATGAACAGCAGGAAACAGAAAGAGATCAAGGGGAGAGGGAGGGAGACAGACCCTTCCACATCACATCCCAGGAACCCACTGCTCCAACCAGGCTTCACCTCCCAGCATCACATTTAGCTATAAACTCATCAATGGGCCAATCCACTGATAAGCATTTCTATGGCTTGCATCTAGATGTCCCCCCAAAGTCTCATGTGCTCATAGGTGGGACTTTTAGGAGGTGCCTGGATCTAGAGTGTTTGATACTGGGATTAAAGGGCATGTTGCACTCAATAAGTCCACTGATTGGTTTAGCAGAGTTTTGGGTGTGGATAATGGGAAGGTGCACCCTGAGTGTGGGATAGCACCAGCCACTAGGCTTGTAGCCTGGATGGGATACAAGTCCAGGAGGCTTTCTGCTTCACTGCTTCCTGCCCTGCCATGGACTGTTTCTCCTCTGTGATGCTGCTCTGCGATACTGCCCTGCCTTGGAGCCATCCAACTAGGGATTGAAACCTCTACAAACTGTAACCCAAAACAAACCATAAGCCTTTCCTCCTTTGACTTGTGGGTGTACAGCATTGTGTTCCAGCAATAAAGAAGTAACTAAAACAAGTAGCACAGCCCCATGACCCAGTCGCCTGCAGAAAGCCCCACTTATGAGTGCATAAGACTTTGCAGCACATCTAGACATAAATCTTAACCACCAAAGTCACAGACACTTCTTATATTTTCAAAATTACATGGCTTGAATTTTTAAACTCATATATTATACCTCATATATTATATTATTTATATATTCTTATATATATATATATAAGAAACTTTATATTTTTTAATATATTTCTTCTTTGCTGTGGATATTCAACTGTTCCAGCACAATAAGCAAAAAAGCATCATTTGTCCATAGATGTTCTTTTGTGCCATCCCCAAGAGAATCAGTTGCTGTATACATGCAGTCTTTTTCTGGACCCCATGCTCTGATCCACTGAGCTCTTTGCCCATCCTGAGGCCAGTGTAACACTGTCTTAATTACTGTGACTTTAAAATAAGTCTTGAAATCAAGTAGTGCTACTCTTCCAATTTCACCCCTCCTTTTCAAAGTTGCTTGAGTTCCTCTGAGTCACTTGCATTCCCCTTTGAATTTTAGATCACATTATCAATTTCCACAGCGTCCTGTTAGAAGCTCATC